AAAATCCTCCTCAGTATATTCACGTGAGTAACCCGCGTTTTTACTTAATTTAGTATGTCTCACGATAGTCATTATAAAAACAAAGAATGTTATCTTTATTTTTTAACCGACTTCCCAAAAAGGAGGCGGTCATCATTTTGTGTTTACTTTATAAATCGATATCACGAAATAAATATCACGGTGTATTATAGTACTAAAACATAGATTCGTAGTACATATTCTGTGTCAGTGTTTAAAGTGATTTATTCCATTCTAATACCAAAAACTAATACCACTGGTATTTGATTCAACTCTTATTTTTTTTCTATTCCGAACCGATACTACTTTTTAAATAATTTAATTTAATGTACGAACGAATACCAACAACTTGAATTTGGTACAGTCAGAGCAGTCAAACCTAATCAAAGTAAATTTGTTTTTCAATATTTTTATGTAATCGTAATATAAAGCGACGGAACATTCGATTGAACCCCTGAGCCTTTTGTGCAGTTATATACTATCCACGGAGATCTGGGAAGTGACGAAGATCACACTTATATAGTTCCTCTTATTTATGTTTTACTTAACAAAAAAACAGAAGAAACATTCAAAAAATTATTTGAAATTTTGAAACAAAACATTCCTGGGTGGGAACCCGTAAAATTTTTAACAGATTTTGAACTAGCCGCAGGTATAGAGAGGAACTAAAATTATATTAAAGTTGATTATTTAAGTGATATTTTATCATTGAACAAGACGTTTGCTAACAAAATTTGATTTTTTTGGAGTTATCTGTTTTTTTTTTCAATTAAAGATCTTATATTTACATACAAAGCATTTTTACTGACTGTACCTTATATCTTTGAACTTGTTTTGGTATTAGTTTAAACAATGGTATCGGTTCGGAATAGAAAAAAAATATGAGTTGAAACAAATACCAGTGGTATTAGTTTTTGGTATTAGAATGGAATAAATCTTTAAAGTCAACACGTTCCGGAGACGTGACGAGCCGGTACAAGTACACTAAATTGAATGTTACCTAATTTGATAACACTAAGACTGGCACAGTCTTCTTTCGTTGCTATTTAGTAAAAGAGGAACATAGTTTCAATCGAATAATGGTCATGAGTGAGACTGGAATACAATTGTACAAGGTAGATGATAGTAACTAGTTTGGTCCTCTATTTACCTATGTTCATAAAATTAGGAGTAACATTTTAAGACTGCCTCGTTGGCCGAGTGGTCGCAAGTGCGACTGCCAGGCAAGGGGTCTCGGGTTCGAATCCCGGGTCGGGCAAAGTATTACTGGGTTTTTTAAGAATACTCAGTTACTACTGGGCATTTTTGCTACTGCAATGAGTTTGGAATTGTGCCCGGTATATGGCAATAGGCTCACCCCCTATTACATGGGACTCATAACATAAATAGTGAAAATGTCGTAATGTGCACCTCTGCCTATCCCTTCGGCGATAAATGGCGTGATGTTGTTATGTTATGTTATTTTAAAGGCTGTGTAATTCTTTGAAGTTATTCAAGTGAAAGAACATCCATATTAATAAACATAACTCGAAATTGACAGTTGTATTATGGTGTATTGAATAAAAAATAAAGACAATTTAGTGAGCGAGACATGCTAAACTAATTATTATGTTTTTTCGGCTTACTCACGTAATTATTTGACGAGGAACTCAACTAGTTTTGGGACATGCTAGAGGCATATATTCCAGTAACAGCGCGACAATCGCCGCGTCGCGGGTCGCGAGAATGCTGCTCATGAATATAAGCCTCTAGAATGGGTTGAAACTAGTCGAGTTCCTTGTCAAATAATTACGACCAAAGACCTCTTCTCGTATGGAGAAGGTTTGAACATTAATCACCACGCTTGCTCAATGTGTGTTAGAAATTTCAAACTTATAATTAGTTAGAAATTGTAAGTCCAGGTTTCCTAACGATGTTTTCCTTCACCGTTTGTCAGTGGTGTCTAAATAAGCTTAGAAAGTATACATATGAATCGGAAAGAAAGTCACATTGGTACTTGCCGTAGATAGGTTTCAAACCCACACACTCGTGAATGAGAATCGGGCGTCTTAAAACTCCGGGCCAACGTAACGCGGTTTAAAACATATACCTATCTACATATAATTATGTACCAAATAGCAACATGAAAGCTCATGACTCCATCCAAATTAATTAAATTAAAATGTAACTACAAATTGTACTCAGCTTTTAAAGTTATGAGTGCTAAGTATAATCCACGTGGCTTACTGACTAGAGTACCTCGCAATACTGGGAGATGGCTTCGCAACGGAAATCCAGGCTAGGACGAAGTCTGGGACTTTTGACCAAGTTGCTATACTAATTAAGTACAAAATGCTGTAACTTTTACGTTGTAAGTTGGTGATGTGGGATTTAAATGTTACTTTTTTTGTACAACAAAAGTTTGTGAAATATTCAAATGAGCTGGAAAGGGGTTATTTATATTATTTCTATTTAAAGAAGTATATGCTTATCGAAGGTATTGTACAAAGTACTTAGTTATTTGCGATTTTGTACTTTCAAATTTAAAGATATTCATTAATTTGAGTGCCTTTTAGTATATATCAAATGTATTACATCGAAATTTAACTCGAACGCCTATCAAAATCTGAATAGCAAGCAGTCACATCTACAAACTTTTATTATGTAAATACTGTCAGGCGCTTATATTGAAGTTAGCTTAGACTAGAAGCAATCTAGGCTCCAACCATCCTAGATTACTATTATGGGCGTAACCATGACCGATATTGCATAACTGTTCAAGTTTGACCTAGTAATAACAACGGTTGTTTATTTATTTTATTTAAACGTTGTATTCTACGAAATGTAGATCCAATTGTACGTAGTTTGTTAGTCGAACTGTTATGTACTCTTCTATTTACACTATATTTTGCTATAAAAGAGTCATATCTGTAGAATTCTTAAGATAAAAGTTTAAAGTCACCGACGTTTGACCACTATCTCGCCTGGTGCATCTACGATGGAGCACGTCGTCCCATAAACAACCTACAATCCTTCAGGAAATACAGACTGGCAAAGAATTCCACTCCTTAGCATTCCACTCCTTAGCGGACAAAGAAGCTAGTAGCGAAGCGCTTCGTGCGTTCTTCTTCTTCAAAGAAGTCAAGTTAAGCAACATCAAGATTGTAACATTACGCTTTTGAATCATCACACTAAACGCACTATAATACTAATAAGATCTTAAAGATTTTAAAGGTCCGGGACCTATGCTTCAGTAGGTAATACTTCTCCGGCCTGAAATCAAACCTAAGACCCCAAAAAGTCGGCAATCGCACTTCCGATCTCCTGACAAATAAGACAGTCACTATCGACTAACAAATTAGTTACTAAAAAAACTATAAATTACCAAAAAGTTCTTTCATTTCCTGATCAAAATAGTTGTAACTGTTAACTTTACTTGCTTCAACTTATAAAGTAATATTTACAGTTTTTACACGTGTCCAATTGTTACCTTTCGACTGAAAACCTGAACCGAATAGTTTCAGATCTAGTTTCAAACGAGAATGTAAAATGCTGAAAAGCTTTCCACATTTTGTCGGTAGAGTTTAGTCGGTAGTTTCATATGAAACGTAGTTAGTTAGGCTCACACATTGAAACTTTCAGGCTCTGAAATCTATTAATGTACATAATTCAGTATGTCGACTTGTTGATCATGTTATGGTTAGTTAAAAATTAAACTCTAATTGCGGTCTTTATCATCAATTTCTTTTCATATCCTATTTACTATTTACTTATTTATTTTCAGCCCTGATCGTCCCACTGCAGGGCAAAGGCCGATTGTAATAACCTACTATCCAATATTGATTTCAAAGAAATCACAAGAAAATGGGTTGCACTATAGTTATATCGCGTTATTATAAGAATCTATCACTGAAACACAACACATACACCGAAAACTATTCAATTATCCGAAGTTAACTTAAAACTTACTTGCAATATTGACGAAAACCAGCAATCAGCGAGCACAAAACTCGACTTTATTTACCACCACTTGATAAAGTGAAACATTGCAATATAAAACTGTTCAAACTCAAGTTACAATAACAACTCTATCCACAAACACGCATACAACTAACACACCACTGTAAATGTCAATTTACATTTCAGTACACACATGACATTAAATTTTATAACTACTAACTCGTCATGCCCTGGAAAGTGCTCAAAAACCGTCAAATCCGATGAGAGGTTCTCCTTTACCGGGTCTGATAACAGGGAGGCGGGCGTGTCTCACCGGCGACCCGGCGACCCGGTAACCGGGTGTCTACGACCGCATGACCCGGTCACAGCCTGACCCGGTTACCATGCAGCCGGGTGCACTCCCCGCGCCTGCATTCCGCGATTGATTCACTACAATATGAAACCAACCTTTTGTTAAAGGAATGTGTGTCGAGGTTCCCCTGCCGTTCATATTTCGTTCTTATGTAACTCGCTCAGTTAACAGGATTCTGGATAACTGGCGTGTTATTCAAGAGATATTAAATATGGATATTATTGTATTACGATAGACTTAATGAGGGACATAGATATAAAAGTTTTATGTAATAATGTACGCATTCTTCTTGTAATATAATCTTACGCCTGTTTTCCGGGATGACCAAAATATTACTAGGATTACATAACGATTTAATGGCTTTTCTTTCAATAAAGTTAATGCTTTCAGACAAAGATCCACCTTTACAAATCTTGTTGTTAGCTCTTTTAAACTTAAAGATACATTGTTTATTGTACTTTATGTTCGGGTCGTTATTTGCGGAAATCTAGTGTCTCCTCTCGCTACCCTCCCACACTCTCCGGCACCGATCTGCGCATTGTGTCCTGATTCCTTCTAGCTCCTCATCTAATATAGTTTTAAAACAGGTCGTATTTTGTAATTCTATTTGACACTGAGATAGAAATAAATAATCAAAACGAAGAAGTAATTAAATATCAAAATCTAAATTTATTTCTTACTAACCATCAACTTCACAATTGCTCACGTATAGACGAACACAAAACATCTTCAAAATATTATAACAGACGCTTATTAAATTAATACTTTGTGTCCTTTGAGATGGAACTGTCGAATGTGCCAATTTCGTCAAACATATTACACGCAAACTTTACTTTCGTATTTTTCTTTAAATCGTTTTCGAAATCATCATATTCTGGGTCAGAGACGCTCGTTACATTTTCTGAGATGACCGTAGGAGTGACACAAATGCTCTTTATAACATACTTCATAACTCTCTTCATACTGTTCAACTCCTTCTTCAATTTACCCAATAAATTACACTTGGATTCCAGTAAACACTTCAATTTCTCGTTGTCTAGTTGTAAGGCTAGGTTCCTGGTTTGTGTGTCCAGTTCTCGCTGGTTCGCTGCGTCCAGTTGCTGCTTCATCTCCCTTACTATTGCCAGAAATCCCTTCCGAGACTTCATCAGTGCGTTCTTTGTTGAATTCAGTTCAGTACGCAGTTTATCAGCTTCTTCTTGTAATCTCTTTGTCAGTGTATCGTCCAGGTACTCTGATATGTCCGCCCCTTTTTTCTTACCCTTAGGCACTTCTTTCACTATAACTTCTACAGCTGTTGTATTATTCCTAAACACCTCGTAAGATGTTCCAGGGTCTGAACTGAGGTGGTCCGTCTTTATACTCTTGTTTCGTAAAGCGAAACTTGAAAACATTTCTTCTGAGAGGGACATTTTAGCCCTGTAGGGTTCAGACATTGAAGATATGCGCTGAATATTCTCCCAAACACTTGTATTTTACGAAAAATTATAAAAAGTGATTATTGTGGATGATTTTTTTTGTTTTGTACAAATCGTTGGCTGTCAAAATTGACAGGTTTGGATCAAAGAGGATAGTATCTAAGCTTGTAGAAATGTTTAGTAAAAAGGTTAAGGATTAGGGCATAGCCCCTACTGCTAGTTCAAGTTTCATAAAATCTGGCCATAAGCCATAACAGTCTTTTTACTCCAAAAGGTTTTTCATTCTACGTAATTAGTAATTATGGTAAAATATGACCATCATAAGGTCCGGTAACAAGATCGACTGGGTGCTAAAATCCGTGCTTAACCGTGCTCCAACTAAACGAAATCCGAAACAGTTATTAAATAAAACAAAATTAATTAGCGTCACATTTTGCTTTTTAACAACTAGAAAATATCCTTAGCTAACACGATTTGATACCCCAGAATGTAAAAAATCCGTTCTACTTTAAATTATGTTTCCAACAATATATGTATCAACAGCCTATAAGTGCCCACTGCTGAGCAAGGCACTTGCTCATTGCGAGTTGGAGATTTAAAACTTATAATTAGAAATTATAAGTCACGTTTCCTTACGATGTTTTCCTTCACCGTTTTTCAGTGGTGTCTAAATAATCTTAGAAAGTAGATACAACTCGGAAAATGTCACACTGGTAATTGCCGTTAGTAGGTCTAGGTATCCAATCAGCACCCTCATGCATGAGAAGCGGCCGTGTCCGGGCCACCACGACACAATATTCATAAACCGTGACAAAATTCAAGGAAAAGTAAACATTTTTTTTTTTTTTTTTTAAAAACGTTGCCCCACACTAGGATTATCTCCTGTGTCGTGGGTGCGTTTACAAACATACAAGTTCACATACACATGACACCCAGACCCGAAACAACAATTTATGGATCGCACAAAGTGTTGTTCCGTGCGGGAATCGAACCCGCGACACGTTGCACGGCAGCCGGTTGCCCAGCCACCGCACCAACCGTGCAGTCGTTTATATTTAATACATTAAATTACCTACTGCATAAATATTGGATTAAATACCGTATATTATCTTGATATATAAGCAATAACGTATATATTTAATCATTGGTACACGTTTACAAGCATGACGCAGTTTTCTGATGTAGATATAAATAAATAGATCGGATGACGTAGTGATTGGAAATGACGCCGATGGTTACATGACCGCCATGACTGTCTTATTGTGTTGGGGTTAAGTAAAAATTGAAATATCTATCAAAACTATTTTTGATGAAAATGAAAATTGAATGATTTATGGATAGGTAACCAATATTATATATTAAGTTATACTCAAAATTTATTAAAACTTATTATTTAGTAAAACGGTTTATTTTAAAGTCTCTCATGAAAGAGTGAGATCGTTGACTCTATTACATATTAGATTTTAATAGATATCGAAATACTCAACGGCCACTCCATTTTTGAGTTCTGTCACTACAAGTTCTTTGTATGTACAATGACAAAGCACTTGAACAGGCACGTTACTTGAGTACATTTTAAAATTAAGTAGCCTTTCAGTATTCGTGCTTATGTCCGCCGTTTTTTGACGTCTTTGCTATAAACATGATTATATTATGTTCAAAGAGCATAAATTTAGACTTTCTGTAGACAAGGCAATAACTTAACTTGTTCCTGGTACCCTAGTACTGTTACCGGCCGAGTGGCGGACCACCGGCCCGAATGATTGCAGCCACGTTCACCTATCAATTACCTAGATACCGCTCAAGGATGAACTTCAGAAAATCCAAGAGAAAAATATGTTTTTTCCTGCACATATTTTTTACTTGATGCCATTACTTCGTGAGCTGGAAATAATGATAGCTACTGTTAGGTTTAAGGTAGTTTTATTAATTATTATGTTTTCGGCTTACTCACGTAACATAACATCACGCCTTTTGCCCCCGAAGGGGTAGGCAGAGGTGCACATTATACCACTGTACAATGCAACATACACTTTTCACTATTTATGTTATGAGTCCCATGTAAGAGGGGGTGAGACTCCCGTAACAGTTTGACGAGGAACTCGACTAATTTCAAGTCATGCTAGAGGCTCATATTCATGAGCAGGATTCCACGACCCGCGACGCGGGGATTGTCGCGCTGCTACTCTGCCCCCGATAGTTAAAAAGACGTATCTGACAAAAAGTAAAAACGGAGAAATTAATGTTTTAATGATTAAAACGGGAAATCGTTTGCTGTCTTCAAATAAATTCAAATATTTACATACTATAACTTGAAAATAATGCCTACTAGTATTGGCTTTAATTTGGTTTTGTAATAATTTGAATTTATTAAATTATTATAATTAAAATAATTAAAAAACAGTTTCATCTTAGCATAAAAAATGAAGAAAAATATTACATACTTAATTGAATAGACGTAAATGGCTAGATGCGTCCTTTAAATTTCAAACGCTTTTGGCTATACTTTTCTTTTAAGCGTTTAGTTTATCTATCTAATATATGATTTTAAGAGAAATGGGCGCATAAAGGTATTTCCGCCTTTTTTCTTAAGAATTAGAAAGTAGGTAGATAACCTTTAACTTAGTTGAAATGTTTGTAAAATGATTTAATAATCCGTTTATTTAAGGAAGTATATCTGAAATAGTGACTGCCTCGTTGGCCCAGTGGTTGCAAGTGCGACTGCCGGGCAAGGGGTCTCGGGTTCGATTCCCGGGTCGGGCAAAGTATTACTGGGTTTTTAAAAATCTCAGTAGCAGCACGGAGTCTGGAAATGTGCGCGGTATTATGGCAATAGGCTCACCCCCTATTACATGGGACTCGTAACATAAATAGTGAAAAGTGGGTGTTACATTGTAGAGGTACAGTGGCATTAAGTGCCGTAATGTGCACCTCTGCCTACTCCTTCGGGGATAAAAAGGTGTGATGTTATGTGTATCTGAAATAGTACAGTCGTAGGTTTGTCGTTATCACAGCCATAGTCTAGTTTAATATTTGTAAATAAAACACAATTGATATAGTCAAGTATTTATTTAAAAAACTTTTGACCCACATATACAAAAATGCTAACCATGGCACATAAATTTATAATCAATCATTATGTATTAAAGTTGAGCTAAGTTTAGCTTAATCAGTCTTCAATAGATACAAATCTATAATCATAACTATCTCTTATAACTTTATTATAACAAACACGTCTTAACAAAAAAAAGGCTCGAGCAGACCGATAGTTGCAGAGTTCCTGACTGTCCCCTCGAAGATACAAGTACTGGAAGCCTGGAAGCCTTGAAGCTCGAAGGTACAACTCTTCCTTAGCTTTAGCGTACTAAAGCTAAGGAAGAGTTGAAGACTATTACGCAAACATGTTTGCGTTTACGTACACTTCCTTTTTTGGTAAGTTGGATTACATTTTCAGAAGCCTGGTCAGTTTGATTTTCAGGTTCAAAATCTTCTCGTTCAGGTGACTCTGATACACGAATGTGGTTTTGTTGTGAGTTCTCTATGAAATCGATATCTGAATCAGAGTCGTTAACACTACTTTTGTTGTATTTTCTTTGTGGTGGAGTGTAATCTTTGTCGAAAACTGAATCATCAGAGTCAAAGTCACTTACTGTTGAGCTACTGCTGCTGCTACTAATATTGGCTGCAGTGATGGTATTATCGCAAATTTTATGTGGAAGAACACTGTCAGTTGTGGAGACGTGGTTAATTTCTTCACCATAGCTTATTTGGTAAGGGCGTTGGTCGTTAATTAAGGGATTACTATTGGTACTTTCCGTACTTGTGGAAGCTAAAGCTTTAGTGAGTAACTCAAAGCATCGACCTTTTTTATGTTAGTTTTACCTGTAACAACAGTTATAGTGTTAGAATGCAGTAAAAAAGCGTTATAAAGCACGTCAAGTCTTTGCAAGCAATATAACGGACATCAAACTTTACTTTTATTAAACGAAAATTTAAAAAAGCACAAAAATATGATCACAAAGAACACATAATTATGTAAGAATAACTCTATAAAAGCTTACTTCAGTTAGTATCACTAATGTATTAAAAATCTATTCAAAGAAATGATATAATGTAAGTACCTAATAAAAATGTTTATGAATGAAATAATTTCCATACGTCTAAATAAGTATTTACTTTAATTTATTAATTTTACTATACATATATAGGTACAGTAGGGTGCATAAATTAGGTAGTTAGTTAAGTAGTAAGACATTGTTATTATTTAATTTCTATTAAAACAAGTCTTAAAGAATTTGTATTGTTATTTGGCACACTACGGTTGTAAAAATGTACACACAAACAACAAACAAACTTTTCAAATAAAAAATACAAATACTTACTTTGTTTCGACGAATCACGCAGCGAAAAATTGCGCGACCGCGACACGTCGACGTGCTCCTAAAACCTACTCGGGCGCAACTGTACTAAACATACCCCGCCCGACCCCCGCGCACTCCCCGCTTGATTTACAATTTTAGGACAAAAGGACGTTTCTGCACACTTGCGCCTTTTTTATTTAGTATCATATAGTATTTTTGTATTTAACGTAAAGTATTAAGACGCTTATGGCAAATGCGTCTAAGCTAAAACAATTTTACGGAATAAATAGGGCGCAAGTGGTCAGATGTGGTCTTTTTTTCTTAATGTGAAAGCCGTTTTTTATTAGCGCGTTAGACGCAAATGCTTATTTACGTCTTATTAACTTCCTCTTAGAAATACGGACAAATATGCGCCTTTTATATTACTGAACTAAAATAAAAACTGTGAAGTCTTAGGACATTATCTACATAAATGCGACTTTTTAACTAAGTTTCACATAAATTCGTCTTTTCATCTTCAATCAGGTGTAAAAAAATGAACAGAAGCGACCTATTTTGTTGTGCTAAAACCGTAACGAAGGGAGTTAGGAAAATATTAAAAATACACGCAGATGCGCCTTTTTTTTCTGATTCCGGCAAAGTATATAACTCAAATCGGTAAAAAATGTTAGATGCGTCTTTTTTCCTATCGGGGGCAGTACTGGCTGCTGTTAATATTACTTTTTATTATTTAAGTAGTCTGCAATGTATA